TTAAATTATAAAGATATAATTTACTACACAATTTTAGTCAAGGTTCCCCGATACTATTCAGTGAGGTGAAAGAACTCCGAGATGTTCTCCAGAGAAATTAATTGATCTGCTGTGTCATTAAATATATGTGGAATATATGTGGCATATCCATGGTCAGGCTACACCTGCACACATGCTGCAGACTCTGCTGCAAACTCTGCTGCAGACGGTGGTGGACGAGTGACGTGAGGCAGAAGAAGTGAGATGATTAATGATGAACGTGTGTGTCTTTTGTTTTGCTGTCTGGACGGTTGGAGCGACCGCCTCTCTTAACTTGAACTTGGACTTCCGACGCGACGCGTCCAACTGTGGATTTATTTAGTCTGCTCTGTCCCCTCTGTCTCTGCAGCAGCATCAGCAACATTTGATACATGTTGCGATGTTGCGGACTCCTGTTGAAGTAATTTTCTAATATAATATTCAGATGAGGCTGAGAGAAACGTGGCCCAAAATATTAACACGGGTTTTCTAGTTTACACGTCCGTGTCATATATCAGACTAGATCAGATCTAGATCTAGATCTAGATCTGATCTAGATCTAGATCTAGATCTAGATCAGACTAGATTACATCAGATCAAACTTGATCTACTTCCCCACTGAATAAATTCATGTGTTACAGCCACAAACCGCACGGAGGTTGACGCCAGGAGAGAGAACATTTAAATAAGAAAAACAAGAATAAACTTTTCAACGCCGTACTTTACGTATACTGCAAAAAATACTTCGTTGTACTATAACAATAATTCCAGAAACTATAGTTTGAAGAAGAATAAATAGGTGAGTAGTCGCCGTGCGTAACACACGCACATTCACGGTGTATTTTCCAGCCGTAGTGGAAAACAACAAAATACTTTGGTTCTGACTTGGTGATGTTAGAAATGTCAAAATTTCAATACCTCAAAAAACAAAACACACACACAAAAAACAAAACAAAAACATACCGCTTCGCTTTTTTTGACGTGATGCTCAGATTTTTGGCCAAAACTCCCCCTTCAGTCACCAGAGCAGTAACACATTGATACTGGCAACAAACTTGAAAGCCTGTGTTTTGTAAATATCTTTCCGTGTAGCGGTGATTTGCCAACCTTTGCACTGCAGGGTGTGGCTCTGCCTGCCTGGCCTGGCCTTTTTATTATTTATTTATTTTATGTAGTGCAGTTAGAAACCCACACCCATCCTTTCTCTCCAGTCTGTACCTGCTCTGAGTGAGTCAAGTCTGAGGCACATCAGGCCCTGACTCTGCTCTGCTGTGGCTGCTGCAGCGAGACTCACACACACACAACCATGTGATCAGTGGTGGATGAAAAAAAAAATGTATGGAGCAAACCTCCGCATGAATATTTAACATGCTGAGCTGCAGGGACATCTTTTCTGTCCTCCATCCACTGCACTGTTTTTGTTGTCGTTGTTTTAGCAGAATCCGCAGTGTCGTGGATCTGAGTGGGTTTTGGTTTTTTGAGACTCACAGATGTCATGTAATGTGTGTTTGTGTGTAGATTACACAGACGTGCATGCGTTTGTCCCGCGTTTCGGAATCGTAAGACTTAGGATGCGACGTTCAGATGTTTAACGTATGTTTTTACGCAAACGAACTCCGCTGTGTTCGGGTCTGTGCTGCAGATTGTCTGTGGTTCATCAGGCTGCGCTCATGATGAAGTCAGCACACATTAGAGTTGTCTAATTCACTGCTGTTGCTGCTGCTGTTGCTGCTGCTGCTGGTGCTGGTGGTGGTGGTTGTTCTGTTGTTCTGTGGTTGTGTTCCTGGTGTTGTTGCCTGCTGCGCCGGCTGCTGCTGCTGCCAGTGGCCTTGCTGTTGGCACACATGTCCAGTGGCGCTGACCTTTGCTGTGACCAAGAGTTTTTATTCTAATTTAAAGGCAGACAGGAAAAGAAAAAGCCCTGGAGCAGAGACTGTTTGTTTTTCTAACATCTGTAGGACTGTTTCCATCATGATAGTGGACTGTTCTGCTCTTCACACACACACACACACACACACAAGAGCACAGTCGCAGAGACACTCTATATCCAAGAGAAGTACTAGTAAATAGACTGATAATAACAAAACAAACAAATATAATCCTGAAACTATTTAAAAAAACACACAACTGAATAAAGCATATAAATATATATTAGCTTAAAGCTAAGCACACGTTTTTATCTTAGCTTTTTAAAGCTTAGCTAAAGTTTTTAAAGCCTATACACTAAGATAGTAAACTCTAAGAAAGACTATACACGATATATTTATACATATATAAAACACATGTTTACATATGTATGTATATACCTATATATATCTCTATATGTATATATATGTAAATATATACATACACAGACGAGCATGCACCCTTGTGTATACATAAGTATATATATTTAGATATATGCGCGTCAATATATATATGTCTATATATGGTAAATGCACTTAGTATATGCAATTGGATATATTCGAAGCTTGTGTTAGTCGATATTGATCACGCGAACATAAATACATACAAATATACATGCAAATGCATGCAAGTGTATACAATATATATATATTCCGTATACAATATAAATAAAAATACATATGTGTGCGCATATATAATGTTTACCTAAACAAATGACTCGATTCAACTAAAAAAAGAAAGGAAGAAATCGCGCGGATGATGACGATTAAAGATCATATTTACGAACTGACCCATCCACATGTATCAGGTTTGGAAAAATCACGTGGTTCAGACTTAAACGAATATACGCAACAACACACGCATATATATACAGTACATACATACGCACGCACATATATACATGTATTATATCTAGAAATATATATATATAATATATAAACATATAAACATATATATATATATATATATATGTATATATATATATAAACATATATATATATTAACCTGCATTCGTTTCGCTCTTTGGACTCGTATATTTATATATTAACTTGGCTCTGACTCTCAGACTGAGTTGTTCATAGACAGTTTCTAGCTTCAGTCAAGTTAGCAGTTGTTGTTTTTATTATTTTGCTTTGGCGCAAAAGCAAAGTGGCTGTAAAACAGAAAACTATTGTGATTTGAACGCGCGTGGACTGACAGACAGTGTACCTGCGCCCTGACCACGTCACGTTATCACTGAACAGTCAGTGTTCTCTCAGCTCAGGTCCTCTACACCTACCGCTGCTCCGAAACCGGTGAGATGTGATTTGATAAATACTTGTGGCTTTTGTGATGTTTATGTGTCATAATCAGACTTGAAGCTAAACTGGGACGATTTACGTAAATATTATTGACTTTTCTTCTTCCGTCACCAAGTCATTTCTGTCACTGTCCTGTGACCGCTGTCTTGTCCTTAAATCAGGGCAAAGAAAAGTGACAGAGGTGATATTTGTTTCCATTCGTCTTCTCTGCGCCGCGTCACCGTTTATTAGAGTGTGATGATATATGATTCGGAGTTGGAAGGTCATCATTGCTGTGAGAGCAGGTTAAAAACTGCCGAGATACGACACACACCGACATGCATACTGTCTGCATATTCTGTTGTCAGAAGATTGACTGTCAGTGGTGGAGAGAGTGGTGAAAGCCTCAGGGAAAGGCTGCGGTTTGGCGGGGGGGGGTCCCCCCCCCCCCCCTGCCCTCCCCCATCCGGGGCCTGTCTGGACGGACATGTCTGGTTGTCAGGGTATTTACAGCAGCACATCATGGTTCCCTGTCAGGACACTGAGACCTGTTTCTATTAACAGTGCCTGGAATAAGTGCCATTGCAGATGGAAAGATGTATATGACACACACACACACACACACACACACATTGATGTACCCACCCACCCACACACACATTTACACGCACAGATAAGACCCACCCACCCACGCACACACACACATTTACACGCACAGATAAGGATGGCAGATTGTTCCACGCCCACGCTTAAAACAATAGAAAAAAAATATAATGACTAATATTTTGGGGGAGAAATGTTCAAAAAGTAGTGGATCTGGTGTTTTAGAAGCTTCTCCTGACTCAAAGAAATCTCGCTAATTTAAATAATAAATATTCCGACATCTTCAGTTTGAATCTGTGTGGATTGTCACAGCGTGAGGAAACACTTTTAATCTAGTTTTTGAACCACATTTCGTCAGATCATTTCCATCACTGTGGTCTCTTTGGACTTGTTTGTCGATTAGTTTCTGTTGCATCAGCCTCATGTTTGGTTTTTTTTAAACGCACTTGTAGTAAACTTGTGATTCTTGGCCGCATTGATGTCAAGTTCAGGCTGTGAGCAAAAAAACCGTACAATTTGATTGAAATGACTGGTCGTAGGTAGAGAGTTGACAGTTCATTTCTGTATTTGAGATCATCACAAAGACAGGATGCGTTTAGGTTCGATGACAGCTGCGGAAACGTCAACAGTGGATTTGTGTAAACATTTAAAGTTCCTCCTTTAATAATCCACCTTAAAATAAGAGCTAAAAACCACAACACTGTGTCTGGAGAAGGATTTATTTATTTTTTTGTGTTTGGTTTTATTCTGTAATTATCAGTTGGTTGGGTTTTTTTAGGGCGTGGTACCCAGCCATATTTGCGGATGTCTCAGTGCAGTTTTTTTTTAGGGCGTGGTACTCAGCCATATTTGCGGATGTCTCAGTGCATTGTGCATTTTGAAACGCTCCTAAATATTTTATGTGAAGGCGGTGGAGGATAATGATGCATTTGCTGTCACTGTAATAAAAATGTATAAGTTGTTCGTGTGGAGAAAAACGTCACTTTGGTTTCTTGATTTTCTAAATATTTTAATTTCTTATTTTGAATTTTGTCAATGTCAGAAAACTATTTAGTGTGTATTCGTTCGAACAGAAATACTCTTTATGAGTTGCATCTTCATCAAATAGTGTTTTTTTTTAATTCAACAATCTCAACTGTAGTTTCTGAAACTTTAATGAAACTTTCTAACGAGGCTTTCAGTGGAGCCCAGCCTTTAGCGGACTTTTAGTAATGACGTGAAATGTAAACAATAAATAAATAAATAGATTAAAGTATAGTAAGGCAGTGCAGTTTAATTTCATTCATTTATTTTTCAAAAAATGACAAGATTTCACAGGATCTGAAGGTTCCTAGAAAACACGTTCGTTTGGAAAGACTTGCAAAAGAAGGCGCAAAAGAACTGTTAAATTCCTGATGCTTGAAATCAACAGAGGCTAAAAGGCCTGTGTGCAGATCTTCGCACACAGCTAACATTTAGGACCAAAGCAACAGCCAGTTTACATGTATACTCTAGTGTGAAGTTCATTCTTGTCTGTCTAGACTCTGATTACGACCCTGTTTGTCTGCGTTTTTTTTTTTTACCTTGACCTTGGACTTCCGTGCAGCTGCCGTTTGGATGAGCCTTTCGTAGTTGTAATTTACTTGAGACAAAAGAGCCATGGCCTCTGTCCGGGGGAAGGACTGGGCTCTGCACTTCCTCCTCAGTGCACCAGTGCACCACGGCGGCCTGCAGTACTGTCAGCAGTGCAAGAAATGTTGATAAACTAGGCACCGTCCGTGGGGCAGCTTGTATCCTGCTTTATGGGTGACTCACGGGACAGGCATCACAAAAAGCCTGTTTTGTGGCCATTTAGTGGAGCAGCTTCCTGTGCAGTGCTGCGAATTAAATACACATAAAAGTTTTAAATAATAACCCAAAACAAACAAAAAAAACTCCTTATTTCTCACCAGAACATAGAAGAAGGGGATTTGCGCCACTGGCTCTGTGACTACAATACTCTGAAAACTATGCAGCTTTTGAGATTTTTTTTCCCTTTTTTCTTTTTTTGAAATCTGAAGGAAGAAGAGAGCTGAGTCAGGGGAACACACGTTAGCGAGGGGAAAGTTTTCGCATTTGTTCCAATCGTTGTTTTTTTTTTTTAAATAAACGCCTGCAGTGTATTTGAATTCAGGAGCTCAGATCGTTCTGTTTGTGATTTTAAACTCACAGCCATCACTGTGCACTTGTACGGTGGCCAGTGACGAGCTCTCAGTGAAACTTCAGCTCCATATAAGGTCGTTAATGCTCCTTTAAACCGCCGTTTATCGTTTAAACCCCCTTTTTGGACCGAGCTGGGATTATAATCCCGCTGGTCATCACGTCAACACCGTGTGCGGATTTTGTCACCCATTATATATAAATAAACACGTTAAAATATAACATGCATTTGTAAAATATGACAGTGTCTTACCTGTAGTTGTCTTTACGGCTCCTCGTCGAAGACATTTAAAAATGACAACGTTTAACTGACATAATGCAAAACTCTCTTCTTTCAACGCACGCACACACGTAAACGAATACAAGAAATATCAATATATATTTTTCTTAAACCTGACTGTGTGCAGGAAATTAAATCTTAAATTTAAAATTTTCTGTCAAATATTTTTTGCAGCTATAATGCGCAAATTGTGTCCCTGACTATTTTAACCCAGGGCAGGGGAACTTCACCCTCCTCAATATTTTTATATTCTGCTGAAACGTGAAGTGCCACTGCCAGGTTTGGTCACATGTGATGTTACCTCAGGAGGTTAATATGACCCTGTACAAGTTATATACGATTTAAAGGAAATGCCTTCCTCTTAAAAAGTGCTCTTGGACTCTGGGAAAACCTCACGGATGCGTGTTTGCTTTGACAAGAGTGTGTTCTAGTTTGTGTGTTGTTTCATGGTGTTCACTAAAATTGACCGCAGCCCTGGGATGGAAGATTAAATCACAGTTCGTTTGTTATAACTTTTATTAATCAAACAGTATTGCTGATGAGTCACATTGCTCCCCTGAAGCAGTAAAACTCCGGTCACAGCCGGTCCAAAAACTCTCCAACTCTCTTCAACAATGTCAGAGAATATTTACCCAGTGTTAGTTTGGCAGTTTGTTTGCTGTGTGGACTTTATTTTCCGTGGACTGTGACATGTTTAATGTGCGAGCATTTTCTCTCAGAGTCGGAGTCGGCCAAATTTCACAGGCTGTTTTGGTTTGTCCCAGTCCTGAAAGTATCCCTTTAAGGCTGCGGCTCTGCCATCTTTGAGCCAATGAAATGAGCCGTTCTTCTGCAGAAAAAAAGCTGACATGTGATGCAGTGGCTCTTTAAAGGGCTGCTCAGCTTCGAGCTCCCAAACCCAATCTCATAGGACTCGTTAGCGAATCACGTGCCGGATTCTTAATGAAGTGGACGCGCGAGGGGTCCGCCGTGCGCATGCGCCTGGTGTAAAATGTAGTTGGAAATGAGGTGTCCGTCTTGGAGTAGTCGACTTTTAAAAAGCATCGGCAACCCCTGATATGACGACTTCGCTGGTTCTGCATCCACGTTGGACGAACACCTTGATGTACGTTTATGAAAAAAGCCCGAATGACAACAACCAGAATACAAACCAAACAATGGAGGGACTGAGCAGCAATTGCCCTGCGACCCACTGCAGGGACCTAATGTCGCACCCCGCGTTAGGACGACATTCTGGCACCATAGCGTCCCACCAGGGCTCCGTCTACTCGGATATATCTTCTCCAGACGCCGGCCGTCAGTGTCCCGCTCCGCAAACGTCATCCAGCGCATCTTTGAGCTACGGTTACCCCTTTGGAAACCCGTATTACGGCTGTCGACTCTCTCATTCGCACAACGTGAACTTGCAGCAGAAGCCATGCTCATACCACCCTGCAGACAAATACGCCGAGCCCAGCACAGCGCTGCCCACGGAGGAACTGTCGACCAGGGCTAAAGAGTTCGCCTTCTACCCGAGTTTCGCCAGCTCCTATCAGGCTGTCCCCGGATATCTCGACGTGTCGGTGGTGCCTAGTATCAGTGGCCACCCCGAACCGCGGCACGACGCCCTGATCCCCATGGAGGGCTACCAGCACTGGGCTCTCTCCAATGGCTGGGATGGGCAGGTGTACTGCTCCAAAGAGCAAACACAGTCCAGTCATCTGTGGAAGTCACCTTTTCCAGGTAAGAACCTTTTTTTTTTTTTTTTTTCCCAAATTTGTTTTGTATATTTATATATATTTTTAAAGCCTCATCACAGCTTCAATCAATGCAGGATTTAGAAAACTTAACTCTTATCTAGTTTGGTTGTTATAAGCAGGTTATTAAATGTGATTATTTTTCACTTTGGTGCCAAAAGTCAACTTAGCAAAGAGTTCGAGGAGACGTCAAATGTGCTGAATAAGTTTCCCTGCTGCGTTTTACATTAAAACGTCCTTCAGTGACAGCGTCACACCCTGCTGTTAAACATTAAACTGATATTCAGCGTGTGCATGAAAGTGTGCGTGAAAAAAAAACATTCATTTTAAGTCAGAGAGTTTGGGAGTCGTTTCAGCTGCACGGCCTCTTAATGGTTAATATAAGTTCAGGAGAGGAGCCTATAAGCTGTCGGAAGTTATCTGCAGTTTTTTCCCTCCCTCTCTCTCCCCCTCTTTCTCTCTCTCTCCTCTGTACTCATATGAGTCTCAGTCACGCAAAATGGAACGGGTCCCATGTGCAAACCTTTGCCCTCTCCATGAGAATACTGTTGCTCAGCGTGTTTACAGCGGGGCCTCGGTCGTGTCCACCGTGTACTTGTGTCCATCATCTACATTACTGAGATACCTCGGCATCGTGTTACTCAAATCCTGTTCACATATCAGTGCAGTGATCCTTAATCCAGGATCATGCTGCACTGTACTCCCTGTCACGTGTGTGTGTTACCTGATTATGGCCACGGCGGTTGACAGCGTGTTTAGCACCACTGACCACAGAGGTCTGTAACCTTTGTGCAATCTGTAAGGATTTTTTTTTTTTTTTTTGAGATACCAATGTTCAGACCTCGACTGAACTCCCCCAACACAACACCCGCCCACCCGTTATATTGAAAATACACATGCAGGCCACGCAAGCACGGGCACGCTGTCAAGGCGCGCACACACATGCGCAAAAACATTAGCGCGCATCGTCCGCCTCCCCCAGTCCCAAACCCAGCTGTCATCAGTAATATGCCCTGTGTACAAAACCCAAACTGCACAAACAGTGAAGGCCTTTACGTCCTATAGTCTGTTAGCAGCAGCGTGGGTGTCAGAATCATCACTATGGAGAGTATGTGGAGTGTGATGTTGGAATATTCAATTACCTGAGAATAGAGAGACCATCACGAGGTTTGCAGAAAATTCTCCCAAGCCCAGACTGTAAAATTACACAGGGGTGAAAAGCTCCATTGCTCAGAGCTCACCACCATTTGTTTAGGTATTGCTTTACTTGTCCTGTCATGTTTCCCTCCAGCTCCAGCCTTGGCAGAAGGCTGCAGTCCCACCACTTTGCTTACCTGAGCAAATAGGCTGAGAAGGCCAGTGTCCAAAAAAAAAAAAAAAAAAAATAGAAGAAGTTTTTTCCAAAGTTAGAGAGAGAGAGAGAGAGAGAGAGAAAACACAGTGGAAAAAATGTCCTTAAAAGCAGCAAATCTTGTACCAGACTGAGAAATCTGTGTTTTTTCTGTCACTTATGATTATTTAAAATTAAAAACCAGTGCTTAGTTACTGACAGGTTATTATAATTGTCATAATTATTGTTGAGAGGAGAAATATATTTTTTCGTCCTTCAGACACGTTTACATATTAGAACGTTATAATCTCATTTAAATTAAAAATATCCCAGATTTTTTAAGTAATATTGTCGCGATTTGCGGTAAAGGCAACAAGCGAGTTTTTACAAACAGTGACCATTGAAAATGAACCGTATTTGTGCGAAAACTGACGCTGATAATTTAGGCGCGTCTTTGGAACGTGTTTACTTTATGCTATGTTTTTAATAATTCGTCAGGTGCAGTTCACCTGAAATCCTGACTGTAGCAGCATTTCTCACACACACACACACACACACATACACAGGCTGCTGTACCACTGATTTTGTGTAACTTGCTGTGTGTGTGTATGTGTGTATGAATCCGTCCAGTCAATGACATGTCGGTTGTATTTGCTTCATCCTCCTGCAGATGTAGTTCCTCTGCAGCCCGAGGTCAGCAGCTACCGCCGTGGACGCAAAAAACGGGTCCCTTACACGAAGATCCAGCTGAAGGAGCTGGAGAAGGAGTATGCAGCCAGCAAGTTCATCACCAAAGACAAGAGAAGGCGCATCTCCGCCGCCACCAACCTCTCAGAGCGTCAAGTCACCATCTGGTTCCAGAACCGGCGGGTGAAGGAGAAGAAATTCGTCAGTAAATCCAAGAGCAGTCACATGCACACCACTTGATGAGATCAGCGACCTTCCAACTGCAGCCCATGTCTCCTAGAACATCATACGCCATATTCTTACCTCCTACATCCAAAGTCGTGGCCGAAGAACATTTTTGGCTTGATGTTTTTTTTTAAATCTTTTCCTTTTGTAATTTAACTTCCATCTTTTCATCGACCACGTCACCGCCGCCCTCTGTTTTCAAGTTAGAGATGATGCTCTAAAAGAAAAACTGTGAAAATATTGAAAACACCCTTCACATTTGTTTTATATGAATGTACATATATAAATATATAATATTTAAAATATCTGTATTTCAAAGACAAGTATTGCGTGTTTTTTTTCTTTCTTCCTCTTTTTATTTTGCAAACCAAATCACTTAAGAACTGATGTTTATAAGACTTGCAACTAGCAGATGAAAAACAAACACGACGGCTCGCTCGGTGTCATTTTAAAGAATATTATTCGCCTCAACCATGGACAAGAAATATGGCGGCGCAATGATACGATGAACACTTGACCGAAAGTTTGACAAAGAGAGAGAGTGAGATTGAATTCTGTCCATTAAAAAAATCCCTCTGTATCATAAGTTCTAATTCCTCTGTGTGGAGTCTATTCTTTTAAGCCTGGGATTAAACAAGGCTGCTACGTTGTTAATCTGTATAGTGCAATGCCTCTATTATTTAATTCATATTATCTAGTATGGCAGAACTGTAATCAGGAAATAGCATCATTATATTTTCTTTTGTTTGTTTGTTTTTTGTCCTTTACCAGTGAAGGATTCTGTCATGCAACTGGAATGATTGTAAACCATTAAAAGTCAGTGAATATTACACAGAAATGCACAATGGTTTGGGTTCCGTTCTGTCTTTGATAGTGTAGCATTGGAGCATTGAACGCACGCCGTGTACGAAGCTTGTCATTTTTACTTATACGTGCAGTATGTGAACTGTATTGTGCTGTTGAATTGCGTACTGGTACCGTGTTTCATAAATAAATGATTATTATGAAAATGCTCACATATCCCAGTCAATCAGACCTCTCCGCATTTCCGTTCGGTTCCAATTACACTGCTGGGTATTAAAGGGCAGGACAGCTCCATGCGCCCCGGGCCGCCTCCAGTCTGGAGCATCAGCAGCGACATTTTATGTTGATTAAGATCAATTGAGGATCCGGGAGTTTTTAATGGCAACAGGGGGATGACGCGGTCATTACGCGTGTTCATTGAGCAGCGAGGCGCATTCAGTGACACTCGCGAGCATGAATCATGATGTTTGGCCTTATCTCTGTCTCTATGTAGGAGTGAGAGCAACTGATTTGGGTATAGGGTGTGTGTGTGTCGGTGTATGTGTGTGTGTCGGTGTATGTGTGTGTGTCGGTGTATGTGTGTGTGTCGGTGTATGTGTGTGTGTCGGTGTATGTGTGTGTGTCGGTGTATGTGTGTGTGTCGGTGTATGTGTGTGTGTCGGTGTATGTGTGTGTGTCGGTGTATGTGTGTGTGTCGGTGCCGTCCACTCTTCTTCTTCTACTCAAACCAAATGCACTGCATTTTTAATCAACCCTAATGCCAGAGACGTATCACCTGTCACTTGGCAGAAGTTTATTTGTCAGAATCACTGAATCACAAAGACGGTGGCAAAACACACAGACGCGTTGATCAGTTTTCACAAAAATCACTTTTGGCCTCACCACACTGATCAATATATATCGTCCGACAGGTAAAAAAAATAGTTCTGGTCGGATGATGTAAACAGTGCAGCTACAGAGAAAAGTGGGACGATTACAGGCAAATATATACTGCATATATTTATATATATTTCTCTCGCGACGCGTTTCCATATCCGACTGACTCTGTTTTCTGTTAGACATTAATAATATGTTTCTCGAATGAATAAGAATTCGTCCCAACGTGTTCAATCATGACGTTTTACAGCAGCGGGTGCGCATTTGCGGCTTTTGTTTTCGCAAACAACGAGCGCAAAAAGACAAAAGAAAATATGTATTTCTTTTCCAGTGACCTGAAAAGGAAAACAAATATGTTTTGCGATGAACGTATCAGTATCTGAACTTGTTTGTAGATTCATCCCATACTGTGCCACTGATGTACACTGAAAATAAATGCGCGTAATCAGAGAACGGCGTTAATGCGTCAACGTGAAGATGTACACGACAATCTGTAGGTTTCTTTTAGTCTTAAGTTTTTCGTACTCCGTACTGTGTATTGAACAATGTTTCTATCAAATACACAGAGTACTCTCTGTTCTAAATAAACAAATATAATGTGTGTGTTTTGCATTGACTTTGATTTAACAGCCAGTCTCTCCATCCCCGACACTAAAACACGTTCATAGTTCTGCCTAAATGTTTACATAACTTTTATTCAACTAATTTAAACCTCAACACAGATTCATTTTCATGTCAGACTGTAATAAAAACACAGCCTTCGTGAGTTACTGATGGTTTTAAAGTTTCGTTATTTTAATTTAGGCCCAAAACACGTATTAATATTAATGTACAGCTAGTTTTAAAGTAGAAGTAACTGAAGAAAATATCATACCGACATATTCTGAATTCTACTTTTTTTTCTCCTCTAAGTTTTGCTTTATTTTTAAACTTTTCTCCAGTAGTTTGCTTTGCCGGATCACGTCACTTTTTCCACCCTCCACTCGGTCGGTTTTACTGGGAGGTTGATTAGAAACCAAGTCGTCTCATTCGAGGCGTTTTTGGTGGTCTGGGTCCTGGAACTTCAATCCCTGTTTTGTGGAGATTTGTGGGTCTCCTGATTTACCCTTGACCATGACTATGCAGTCACTTTGACCTTGACATCACAGCAGATTGTGAATAATAAACAGGGGGCTGGACACCGATGCTGGCGGTTTGTTTGTAGGCAAACAAGGTGTTATTTCCCTGTCTAGACGGCCGGACTTAATGACGTGCCATAAATACATAAAAAAGGGGAAGTGTAGCCATATCCTCTGACCTGCATTTTCTGACCATCTCCCTCAGCTTTGCACTGACATTTTGGCTCCATGTTCTTTTCTGTGTGTGTGTGTGTGTTTTACAGAAGTTCTTGTAAATTCACATGTCCCAGGCCATGCCTGTGCAACCACCAATGGGTTCGTGCACCCACCGCGAGGCTGGTGTTATTGACCACGCAGGACAGGTAGGACTTTTGACGTCTCACACCAACACAGCAGTAATCCGCAGCCAGCAGCCCCAGTGTCCACAGAGCGGGAGGGAATCATAACACGACGTCGCCCACAGTAGAACGATTAAAGGTAGGGCCATTTTCTTCCTTCGTAGCCAGGCAGCAGAGCTGCACGGAGTTTACTGTGTCACTCTGCTGCTGCTGCTGCTGCTAATGCTGCTGCTGCTGCTGCGTCTGAATCGCACTGGGAAGTTCATGTATTAAGCGAGTATTATACAATATGTAGTTTAGAGTAGGACGAGAACATGGAATTGTTAAGCTGGGAAAAAAAGGAAATCCATATTTATGACATGGATGTTTGTTTGTTTATTTTCACTGAAGTGGCAACAGTGGCACAGCTGCCAGGTAGAACTGAGACTGGGACAAAGTCAGAATTTACGATTAAACAAACACGTTAAATATGAAATTATATATTTTAAATGTATATATATATATATATATTAAAATAAAATATTTTTGTTAAAAAAAAACCCAACTGACCATAACAGACAAATGCGCGCTAGAAATGCTTATAAAATAGCCAGTAGCTAAAAACATCTAAAAGAAATAGAACAGTAATAGTGCGTACTTTAAAACAAAATATACACAGTATATATGTACATTTATAAACTCTGTGTGAAATATATTTTTATACATAAAGTATATGCATTGCGTAATTTATACGTATATACAAATGAATATATATATATATATTTAAAAAATAAACTCAATGTATGGATGTATAGAGTGTATATGAAGTATATTTACATACACACCAGGTGTATACTTTATATATACCTGCACATATATGCATATATACCTATTTTATATACATATATAAACTTTAAAACAAAGATGAACAATTATATATACATGTATAATGTTTATATGAAGTAAATATAAGTAAATATAAAACATATACATACATATACTTTATGTATATTGGACACACATACATACATATCTAGCTGTATAACCTATATAAACTTTAAAACAACATATTCAAAGCAAATATATATAAATGTATAAAGTTTAGTGTAAAGTATATATTTGGTATGTTTTAAAGTAAAGTGTATTAATATATCAGTATGTTCAAACTTTATATACACATATATGAATACATATTTACTAGTATGTACACACATAACTATTTAGAGTTTAGTGTAAATGTGTAAAGTATATGTGAAGCGACTTTATATTATTAAATATATATTCTTCGTACATACACATATACTCTGGACACATATATGTATATATATATATCTCTACTTGTATATACATAATACATACATACATAATACGTAGTACATAGTACACAGTATGTATGTACATTTATAAAGTGCGTATGTGTATTTATGTACATGTTATGTATTGATGGTATTTCAATACATATATACTTCACATATACTCTCTATATACTATACTATATTTATGGTATTTCAATACATATATGCTTCATATATACTCTCTATATACTATACTATATTATATAAATATAGTTCAATATGTGGTAACTTACATGTATATATTATATGTATGTTTTGCTTTATTGCCCAATAAGGGGTTCATTCATTCATTAGGAAAACCATTATTTATTTATAAAGTATAGTAACAGTCGAAGAAATATATATATTAGAGATTTAATATATTTGTATTTCACCAGACCAGTTTAACTTATTGCTCAGCTTCTCTTTACGAAATAACCAATTTATAAATCAGTCTGGATGAGAAATGCATTCCCAGCATGAATTAAAGCAGAAATAATAAAGGACTCAAATTGCCATATTTTATGTAGACGTAAAATAAAATAAAAACTTGAAAGTGCATGAGTCCATACTTCTGCAGTACACGCCGTTTCCTGAAGGTTAATTTTTTACTGGCTAAACTTGTCACCTAATCAAACAGACGGCACACCCGCGTTTAACGTTTGCTCTGCCGAACACTGGACGACCTGGACTAACCTCAGTGCCCGGTACCAACTCCTGGTTAGACCAGAACCACCGCTTACATGTGGAGTTAAAGTGTGAAGGCCCTCTGAGCGGAGGAAACTCTGAAAACTGA